CATCTGCTGCATCTTCTTGGTTCTTTCAGTAAAGTCACGTAGAAGGGAAGTAATAAAATAATAAAAACAAAATAAAATAATTCTCACGACGTTTCGGCCACAACGCAAGCAACCGTCCTATTACTTCCCTTCTACGTGACTTTACCGAAAGAACCAAGAAGATGAATCCCTGCAGTCACGAAAGCTTTAAATCGAAACTCCTGCTGCACTTGATTGTAACAAACCCATCGACTCGCACCTCGCGTGTCCTGTAGTCGTGGACCTTAATCCAGTGAGCGTGGGGTCACGGGTTAATCCCTGAAGAGTTGGCCTGTCCGTGGCTCAGTCTTTTAAGTTGCGTTGTAGGATTCCCAGTAAATGCCACGCGCGTGTGTCACCTTACGTAACCCAGTGCGGACCCAACATCCTCAGGGCTCTCCTATCTTCGTCCTGCAAACTGTAAGGGTGGGTGGGAAACGCGACGCCACGGCAGCTATTTATGAATTTTCGTGGGGGTGTTGAACCGAGTGCTCCGTTTCATTTTTTTTGTCCCCTCTCCTTTGAAGTTCACCGATCTGGTAGATAAGTTGCGTTCCTTTTCCTAGCCACCCACCAGCAACTACCTCAACCGATCTCCACCACGCCCCGATAACAACCACCACCAATGGCAATCACCAACGCTAACCACCACCTTCAACCACCACAACCCTCGTCTCCTCGACAATAACCACTACCGCCCCCAGTATCCTGTACAGCTGCCGTCGTGACGGAACATTTTTGTTGTGTTTTAGTTTGTTGGCCTTTTCCCGCACCTCCGATTAGCACGGTTGGCTACGTGCGGTGCGAAAGAAGTTCAACATACACACACACACATCGTCATTCCCCATGAAACCAACAACCTTCACAACCCTCTCCTCTTGCCCGACCAACCACCACCACCACCAACATCGCCACAACAGCCAGAGAGACGCCTCCGATTAAAACCGGATTTTCAAGTACATCGAAGTTGATAGTCGCAACCCGTTCGCCTTTTGACTGCACGCAACAACAAAAATCAGCGCGTAGCGTTGAGAATTAATCAAACATTCGTTTAACTGTCACGCGACGAACATTACTCTCAGCTGGTGTGGGGAAGTGCTGCCCTCTCAGCGGTAGTTCTGCGATGTCTGATTCCGTGGCCCATTCACTTCACAAGATGAGGAGGTTGCGCTGCTCTGCGTAAGAGATCCGAATGGAGACTTTGTCTCAGAACATGACGTCGACAACGCAGTCGTGTTAAAATTGGAGGGGGGGGATTTTTTGTTAGTGTGTGGTTCCTAGATCTTTCTCCACTTGTTATCGTTAAACATCGTTGTGCCAAGGCTCTGTCTTCTGCGGCTTCTAATCTGCTCCTTGGGCTTCCTCTTTTCTCTCTTCTCTGTCTGTTTCCATTGCAACAGTTTCTATATTATGTTCACCACCTAGCCTGACATACAGGAGGTCATGGGTTCCCCTGTATATTTGGAGTTTGCGTGTCTCTCTCCGCATGGTCGCGTGGATTTTTCTCCGGCTCCTCCAGTTTTTCCCTCCGCATTTAGAATGAAAACGCGTTTAGAGTATTTGACTGCTGTAAATTTCCACGTGACGATAAGCCACTTCGTTGACCTATCGTTTGTGGCCAGGTCACGTCTGAAAAATAGCTATAATAGCTCATTCGGTACTTACCTGGTGAATTCGTTTTTTTAATGATCACGTGAATTTTTCTCCGGGTCCTCCGGTTTTTCCCTCCACATTTAGAATGAACACGCGTTTAGAGTATTTGACTGCCGTACATTTCCACGTGTTGATAAGCCACTTCGTTGACTTATCCATGTGTGGCCAGGTCGCTTCTGAAAAATAGCTATCAAAGCTCGGTGGGTAATTACCTGAAAAAAATTGTTGTTTTAGTTTACTACGCGTTATTCATTCTTAGTAGATACCCCACCAATCCTGCCCCCTTCTTCTCGACAATAAGCCTCGCTGCCTGCTCCCTCTTCCTCTTTCTGACCTCTTCCAGGCCCCCCCCCCCCCCACCGCGTGCTGTTTGCCCAGCACTGGTGGATTTGTTGCCCCCCAGAGTCATCTTTCGTGGAAACGGCGACTTGTTCCACGTCGATTTGTCGTCTACAACACAAGTCGTAGCCTTGCGTAAGAAAGAGAGAGAGGTGCGGCGCGCGTCTGTTTATTCATAGATAAGGCGGCGGAAATGGCAGGTTAAAGTTATCGAGGCGTGAGGTGTTAACCACCGACTGGTGAAGCCTCGCTGGCAGGCGAGAGGGGCGTTGCTGGTTATGTAACGCGCTTATCCCGTCGTTGTGCAATGTTCAGTCCGTGAACAGAGCGTGCAAGTTCAGTGGGTCTCTCCACACGCGCCTTATCGCCATCGGCTCGCGGAGTTCTCTTTACGGCTCGTTGGGTAGGAACATGTTGGTGCCGAATGTAAAACACAGCCTAAGTTGTTGCGCCACAAAAAAATAACTCGAAATAATCGTGTCGTTATGGACAATATAAAAAACACTGGTCAAAAAAAACAAAATTCTGGCCTGGAATTTTGCAGCTGTTCTACACTAATTTCAGGGTGCTGATTCCAAATCTGATCTCAGATTTGCTCTATCACATCTCATTTGTATGCTATCGGCATACCCCATTTTCATTGATTTTACCCGAAATTAACTCTGTCACTTATGACTGCAAGTTGTTGCGAGTCAGTGACTACTTTAGTGTTAAAATATGGTGCTGTATTTTTAGGATAGTGTGTTTATAATATAATTTTATACAGATATCCACATTTATTTAATATTTTTCTTCTGCAGTTTTTATTGAAAATGCAATATTTGATATCTCAAAAACCTTATGTGATACACAAAAACTGATGCCAGATTTGGAATCAGCACCCCAAAATTACCTTTAAAACGTTGGAATACCTTATGCCAGAAAAAGTGTGTTGACCAGTGTAATAGAATAAATAAGCGACGTCTCCTCTCGTGTGCATTGTCCGTCTTCGTCTTCTTCCACGCGTTTGTCCCACTTGTGTGGGCTCCCGCTGTCCTTGCGAACCTTCTCCACTGCTGCCTTGTGCTGCGCCATCTCTCGTTCCGGGCCACCGTGTCCCATCGCATCGCATCGCCCCCCCCCCCTCACCTCTTCTTCCGCCTTCCTCTTGATCTCTTTCCTTTCACTTGCATCACTTGCACCTTCTGACCCACATAATGTTGCTGCTGTCTCTCCGCATGACCGAACCACACCAGAGCCTTTTCTCTCTCTCATCTTCTCTGTGATGTCTACTGCCTTGAGTCTTCCTCTCACTTCTTTATCTCACCCTGTCGTTGCTTGTTGAACCCAACATCCACCGCGACATCCTCATCTCTGTGACTGCCATGGCTTGGTCCTCCCTCTTTCTTGTGCCCCAGCACTCGGCCCCATACAGCAGCGCCGGTCTCACCACCGTCTTGGACACGTTTCCCTTCGACCAAACTGAAACCCTCTTATCGCACACCACACCCGCCATCCAGCCCTTGTTCTTGTTCTCATCTCTCCTTCCAGTGACCCATCAGCAACCACATCGTTGCACCCAGGCACTTCAACTCGCTCGTCTTCATTAAGTGGTTATTTACAAATTGCAAACCTCCATAATTTCCACTGAAATTTGCCACCATATACTGTACTGTCTTTGTCCGACTGATCCATCAACCCATTCCCTTCAATAATTTGCACCCAGATCTTCAAATCATCTTCCACTACCCCTCTGCTTTCACCGCATAGCACAATGTCGCCTGCAAAGAGCGTACACCACTATCTGTCTCTCGACGTGCAAAAAACATATCAAATTTATTTTTAGACAAAGCATCGGACCCATATGTCAGAGAGAGGCTCTTTGCCAATAACCTGTGGCAGTTGAAGCTGCTGATGAGACGCTGTAATTTAGAAACCTGAGTTTCACTTTGTCTCGAAGCAATGCTGATGAAATTCCCCACCCTCAGAAGGCCGTGGCGGGTTGATAGATTGTACAAAATGCTACGAAAAATTACGTGGAGGAGACATTGCTTATTTATTTTGTCATTTATAGTCTCCGAAACGTTGCTATAAATTACGTTTTGAGTTATGTACAATATTACTCGTCTTTACCATTGCGTCGAACTGGCGAGGATCTTGGCTTGCAAGCAAGATGTTACAAGTCCAAACCGCCCCAGAGATTGTTTGTACTGAATCAACGCTGCTCATCGCATGCCCAGAATAATATGGGGGCGGTGGTTTGTGTGTTATTGTTGATGTGGAGAGACAGGTACACCCATAGTCCAGGTTTTTTGGGGGGGTTAGATCGCGTAAATATATAAATGTGTCGTTAAACCCGCCACCACCCGACACAGCCAACGAGTAAGGGTTGTCACGTAAACAGAATGCGCAAATCCATTACTAGAACAGCACTAACCGGTGTGTTGGAGAGCCAAGCCACAACATTTACAATCTGAGTACGACGTTTCGCCAGTAATTACAACCAGCTTTATCAGGCGACAGCCAGGCTTGGCTCTCCAACACACCGGTGTGCTGTACTAGTGACAAATTGGCCACGTTCTGTTTACGTGACAACCCTTACGAGTTGGCTGTGTCGGGTGGTGGCGGGTTTAACGACACATTTATATACTTACGCGATCTAACCCAAAAAACCTCTATTATGTATGAAATTGGTCGCGAAAGCTTCCTACGTGTTAAACAGACAGGTGCATATATGAGCGAGACGTATCATCAGCAAGATGAGATTGGCTTGATGCTCATGGTGTGTTGCGTCTTTAAGATGATGCGCTTAAGTCCGCAGGAGTGTGGGTCTCGTTTCGGCCATGCAGGCACGCGGTGCATAATGCTAAACTGGTGGACACCAAACCGCTTACAAAGGATCCTTGCAGCAGCAAGCAGCCTTACAGTGCAGCAAGCAAGACACTCTCTCTCTCTCTTCACGGTCAGGGTCACAGGTCGACTTGAATGAGTGAGAGTGTACGTGAGTGTGTGTGCGCGCGTGGACTTTGTTGTTTTTTAACGAAAGGAGCCATCTTCGCTTGCAGTTGCGGCCGCCCTATTTAAAATTCGGCATTTCTCATTAGGCTCTTTGAATCGACAGCGCGCAAGAGGTAAAACACATGGCTTTCCGTGTCGCTGCTGTTTGGCGCGTGTGAATCTACGCCCCGACAGCCGCTAATATAGCCACGCCGTTCCTGCTGCTTGCTGCTGCTGCTGCTTGCTTGCTGCTGCTGCTTGTCGAAGCGTGCGATGCTAACGCGAGTCTGACATTCCAAGTCGCGTGCAAGGCCACCCGGTCACGTAAGTGTGTGAGTGTGTGCTGTGCTTTTCAGTGAATGATCGAAGCAACTTATTCATAAATTGAAAATTAAAAACGCGAGCCACGGCAGTGCGATTTTGGCCATGCATTGCATACTATGGAATGATTTCGTAAAAGCATTGAGACGCAGAGTTCTATAGTAACACACATACACAAATAGACTCGTAGAGATACGTAGAGATACATAGAGATACATGAAATATGAGCCAAAGTAGTGTGATCGTGGCCACGTGATTCAAACTATGGGCCATATAGTAAACTCAATGAGACACATAGCAACACATGGACTCATAGATATACATAGAGACCTAAATAGACACACATAGATACATATAGACACATAGAGATGCATTAACGATTGCCTAATTAGTGTGATTTTGCCCATGCAACTCAAACTATGGACCATATGGTAAACCGCACCTCCGATTAGCACGGTTGGCAATGTACGGTGCGAAAGAAGTTAAACATGCATACATATAAACCACCACAGTCTCTGCTCCTTCAAGGAAGGAATATAAAAACTACACGAACTCTCTCCTCTCCCCTGAAGCCCTCTCGTGGCTAGCAGACCTCAACATTGGCACGCAACTGCCAAACATATTGCCATAGGCAAGAATAGAATCTGTTATGCGCGTCTGAAATTCTAAAGATTATCTGATAATGCTGCTGCTGTGTTGACAGTGTGTGTGCACAAGGACAAGAACAAAAACATAAAAACAAGAACTCAACACGTCCGCCAATAACGCTGTGGCCTGAACAGTAAAACAATATAATAAGTGACGTTTCAGGCAATGGTCATTCTTCATATTTTCTCCCGTTATTTACGTATTCATCTTTTTCGTTTTTGATTTGTTTTTTATATCACCCGTGTATGGGACTGGTTAATTATGCGCAGCATTGTGGCATGCGATTGCACGAATTATGCAAAATAACATGAAATTATGATTATTATTATTTCCAAAGTTTATTCTGGCAAAATTAATTTGGAGCTTTCGTAACTGCAGGAATTACTCTTTGGTTCTTTCGGTAAAGTCACGTATAAAGATAAAATAATAAATTAAATACTAGCATACGACGTTTCGATTGCAACACAAGCAATCATCATCAGGTAGAAATGAAATAGAAACACAAATCTATTGTACTTAGAAATGTAATGTAATACAACAGAGTCGGATAACATAACAGTCAACACCCTACCTGGTTGATTACGTTCTTCCTGAGAATGCTAAATTTGAGAGAGAGATAAAACACAGAACCAGAGACATATAGACAGACATATAAGCAGACAGATATCACAGAGATACATAGAGAGAGAACAAACATACTGTAAATTAAGACATCCCCACAATGCGACAGTGGAAGCAGGGTCAGTGCTGCCTTATGGATGCCAGTTAACGGGGTTCAAACAAAGTCTGCCCCAGGTTCCTCCAAAACCAGCCCCTCCGAGCCCCGGTTGACAACACATGCAGGGCGGATGGCTCCTGGTGCACAAGCAGAGCCAACAGAGTGGCCTGAGACAGGCGGGACCGATAAGTCGGGGACCGATTGCGAGAGTGGCATCTGCCAACTACAGGGTGCTTCAAAACAATGTGAACACTTCTGAGAATTTGCAACAATACGCCTCCTCCAGGCTCTGGAGACCACCTGGAGAAGATCCCAGGCACGCGTTGACAACGATGGCGAGCAAGTGGGTTCTCAGCTAGAATGAGTTGATGGTTTCAGCAGTTGAAATGAGTACACCGCAGTTAGTTGATCGCAATATTGCATGTGGTGGAGTAAGTAAAGTGGAGGTAGTCACATGTAGCACTGTTTGTAGATGGAGCGATGCAATCATCTCGTGCAGGTGCTAGGTGGATTATTACATCTCAGAACTGTGAGAGTTGGCGATGGCATTGCGGAGGTCTTCATCCACCGGCAGTAGATCGATCGATCAATCGATAATGGCTGATAATTATTATGAACCTCAATCATCAACCAATCTTTATTGGACGTGCCTATGTCGCCCTCAACAAAGCAGGCATCAGCGCAACGCGATCGAGAGGCGAGAAACGCAGCGGAACAAAACGTGCGCGGGGGGGGTTCGCGATGCAAGCGCCTCCCAAGGAGTCGGGACGTGACGAGAATTCGCAGGTGACGGAGAAGATGACCGACGACGACGACGATAACGACGAGACGAGGAGGAGGAGGAATCCCGGGCTGTCCGTGGTGGTCGTGCACGGCGGGGCGTGGGCCATCCCGGACGATCTGGCCGAGGCGAGCGTGGCGGGGGTGAAGGGCGCCGCCATGCGAGCCCACGAGCTTCTGTCCCGCGGGGGAGGCAGCGCGCTCGATGCCGTGGAGGCTGCCGTGAAAGCGCTGGAGGACGACGCGGCCTTCGATGCGGGTCTGCGGTGCCGCCACTCTCTCTCTGTGTTCATCGCCGGGGGTATCTGTATTCACGTTGATGACTTAAAGAAAAAAATTACATCTTCTTGGTTCTTTCGGTAAAGTCGCGTGGAAGGGAAATAATAATATAATTAAAAATAAAACATAATAAAATAATTCTCAGGACGTTTCGGCTACAACGCAAGCAGCCATCCTCAGGTGAGGACGGCTGCTTGCGTTGTAGCCGAAAGAACCAAGCAGATGAATCCCTGCAGTCACGAAAGCTTTAAATCGAATTTTTTTTAACAATTTTTTGTTTTACCAGGCAAGGCCCACTGAGCTATATAGCTCGTTTTCAGAAGGGACCTGGGCACAAATGATAGCCCAACGCGCAGTGGCTTATCAAGTGGAAATGTATCGCAGCCAAATGACTATAAACGCATGTTTCTTATTGTGGAGAGGAAATCGGGAGGACCCGGAGAAAAATCCACGCGACCACGGGAAGAGAGACACGCAAACTCAAATTCTACAATAAGCATCAGGGTCGGGATCGAACCCACGACCTTAGGGTTCTATTTTTTTTTTATGCAGGTCCTTCGGCTGTGTCTCGTCGACTAAACGTTGAGCCTCTTTAGTTATAAATGTCCGATTAGAACAGTTGGCTACGTACGGTGCACAAGAAGTTCAACTACATATATCCATAGGTTGGAGCCTCTTATGTCGAGGCCAATATTACAGCAAAAAAAAAATGCGTTTATGACCGTGCAACTCGCCTCCCAGGCCATGGCTCGGTGCTGACGGAGGCTGGCGAGGTGGAGATGGACGCGCTCATGATGGACGGGAGGACGCTGCGCCTGGGCTCCGTGTCGTGCGTGCAAGGGGTGGCGAACCCGGTCAGCCTGGCCCGCGCGGTCATGGAGAAGGTGCGGTGATGGACAGGAGGCAGAGCCCCGTGTGTGCGTTCTTGTGCACCCGGTGACTCGACGGCAGAGCGAGCTGCTCCAAATCGAAACTATACTATACTGAACTTTTTATTATATTTTACCAGCCCACTGAGCTATATCGCTATTTTTCAGAAGTGACCTTGCTACAATTAATAGCTCAACGAAGTGACTTATCATCATGTGGAAATGTATAGCAGCCAAATACTCGAAACGCATGTTGACCCGCAGAAGAATCCACGCGACCACGGGGAGAACATGCAAATTACAAACATACAACCTTCAGGGTCAGGATTGAACCCATGACCTCGCGTATGCCAGGTGAGATAGTTAACATCTGCGGCGCCCAATCAAAAGGTTGCGAGATCAAACATTGCTTGTTGGTTGGAAATATTACTTTATGGGGAAGTCAACAATGGTTTCCCTCGGAATAGACTCTCCTCCACCATGGGAATGTGGAATTTCCACCACTGGCTCATCACCGATCCCCTCTTGTGTATTTTCAAGTACTATATATATATGAGTAGTTTTAGTCGGTGAGAGTTGACCCGTGTGTAGGTAAGCTTAGGGAAAAATAAGCGTTCCCAGTCCATCGGCAATCAGCTGCAAATGATTGGTAGCAGTAATGAATGAATGTATATTAAACTTCTTTTGCACCGTACGTAGCCCACCGTGCTAAACAGTGATTTCACCTTGGAGATGCGCGGCTTAGCCTGTAGGATTATGGCCATTCAACTGCTCCCAAACAACATTTCAGGATTTCTACATGAAAAGCGAACGCCATATTTTTCAAAATTCAACCTTTAAAAAATACCAAATGCCTCCCCGACCGTCGGTTGCTTATGTGGGGGGGAGGGGGAGGAGGAGAGGGAAAGGATTGGGGGTGGGGGGGGGGACATTCAGGATTTTCAGCTCGGGTTGCTCGGCGATTGAATTCCTCGTCGCCACGTCACCCTGAAGGTCGCGTTAAAGACATCGCCCGGCTCCAAATCGGGCGATCGGAGCACGCGTGACCTCGCGAAGGTCGAATTTAAATTTGAGCCGCCGAGCCCACGCCCAGTTTTCATGAAGCCCAAAGGATCCTGAGCGACAAACGCCGCTCCCAGTTCCCGCAACCCAACAGCCGAGCAGTTTACACACTGCATCACGTTCACACGCCAGCATTCGTAGATAAAATAATAACAATAATATACAGCCCCTTGGTTTAATCCATCGCTTGACGAAGGCCTCCCTATGCTATAGCAGCCATGTCACCGTGCTGGTCAGTGCAGGTTATTTAATTGGGGGGGGGGGGGGGATATCTCTCGCCACCGATGTTAGCCGTGGTCAGGAATTTAACTCCTTTTGGCGGGTTCACAGTGCAGTGCGCTAACCATTATTGTGCCTTCGCTCCCACTCGTACATGTGGACATGACGCGCGCTATGCACAACAACAAAATGTGCATTTGTAGATACGTGGGGGAGAGCAAGGAGCAAGCGGGTAGCGCTGCACTGCGCTACGGACACGGCAAACATGAGTTCAAATCGTGGCCACTGCTTGATGTCAAGTGACAACCGAGCCGTGTCCCCGAGCTGTCCGGCATGGTGAGGTCTGGTTAAACGAACCCCTACAATCCGGGCAGTGTGCGTAGGCCCTCATCCACCAGTGGATCGATGCGTACCTCTGTGTGTGAAGATACCTGTCCTGGTGTAACGGTCATCAGCGCCCTGGACTTGCAATCCAGAGGTCGCCGGTTCGATTCCATCTTCCAGGCTCGGTAGTTGAAACGATGAGCCAAGTATTTTTTAAATCACCCCCACCCCCACCTCCTCCATCCACCAGCAGTGTAAGAGGGCACGCCACGGTGAGGCAGTCAATCGGAACGTCACGTGTGATGGGGTAAAGCATCGGCAATCCCAAGATGCTTGGCCAGCGTGAAAGAGGAGACCAAATATCCCCCGAGAGCTACATGCGTCTGTCAGGTCTAAATGCGTTTGTATCGTTGCTAATACTGTGCTGTATGTACGTTGAATTTCTTTCGCACCGTACGTAGCCTACCATGTTTATCGGAGCTGCGGGGGGAGGACAGCAAGCTAAAGACAAAAAGCAGTTTTGAAGAAATCAGTTTTCAATCGAGATTTAAAAGTGCATAGTTGCAGTGTCTTCCTAATAACGGAAGAAAGAGCGTTCCAGACGGCCGCAGAAGCGCATCTGAAAGCGCGCGTCGCAGTGACCGTCTTTGTTCGATGGCTAGCCAAAAGCGGCTGCGAGGATGACCGGAGTTCCCGCGATTGGTTTAGCGGTCGGCACACTGAACTTGCACTCCAGAGGTCACCAGTTCGCTCTCCCACCACGACAGGTGAAACAACGGCGCAAGTTTCGTAAATGCCCCCCACTGCCTCTGTTTGCCCAAGCGGTATAAATGGGTTCACCCCAGCTAGTCGAGCGACAGCTGACTAGCAGATCGCGCGTGGTGGAGTTTAAAGTGTGGGCCCACACGCCACCTCTTCCAACAACTTCCTGCCAATGTTGGTGGAAGAGGAAACCAAAAATGCCACTTTAGAGTTCCCTCCGGTGGAGGTAGGGCCCTTTCCGCCAGCAAGAAGCAGTTGCAGGAGACCCTCACTGAGTCCTCCTCCACCTCTCATCGTTCATCATGAAGGTTTGTGTTGGGTTAGATCGCGTAAATATAAATGTGTCGTTAACCCACCACCACCAGACCTCACGCCAATTCTCACAATCGCCTGATGAAGCTGGTTGTAATCACCGGCGAAACATCGTACTCGAATTATAAGTGTTGTGCGTTTATTCTCCAACATATTCTTAGGACTGTTTTCTTGTAATTTCTCTTACTTGATACAGCAAGCGTGCTGTGACAGTTCCACCTGAAGACGGAAGTTTGTGTTGCCTCCGAAACGTCGTGATTTTTATTTTATTTTTATTTTACTTTTATTAATTCTAATTTTTTACCTACGTGACTTTACCGGGAAAAAAACCTAAGAATATGAATCCTTGCAGTCACGAAAGCTTCAAATCTAGAATTATTCTCCAACACACCGGTGTGCTGTAGTAACGAATTGGCACATTTTGTTTACGTGACAGACCTTACTAATCGGCTGTGTCAGGTGGTGGTGGGTTAACGTCACATTCATATTTACGCAATCTAACCCAAAACGAAATCTTCTTGGTTCTTTCGGTAAAGTCACGTAGAAGGGAAGTAATACAATAATAAAAATATAAAACAATAAAATAATTCTTACGACGTTTCGGCCACAACGCAAGCAGCCGTCCTCAGGTGAAGAATGAAACACCACCAAGTTTGGAGCGTATATTTAAGCTGGGTTGAAGGGGGGAAGAAGAGCGCCTTGACAAAATAATTTGCATATCAAGAGGAATTTAGCATATTTATTTAGCATATTTATTAAAACGAAATCTTTGCTACACGAATGACATCGGTTGGCGCAAGCCTGCTACACGTTAAACCGACCTCTCATCGTCGTCATCGTCCCGTGTCGGTGCGACAAACCACGCTGCAGACGGAGCACGCCATGCTGACGGCGGCGGGGGCCGCGCGCTTCGCCGAGGCGCTGGGGGTGGCGCGCGTGCCCCAGCGCGAGCTCGTGACGGAGGCGGCGCGCTCCGAGTGGGAGCGCTACCGGCGCTACCGCCACGCCGTGCGGGCGCTCTTCAGCTCGGAGCGGTGCGTCGCGCGCGGTCACACACGGACGACGCCCGTGGACAAAGATAAAAAATTAACCCGTAAAAACAAAGTTTTTCACTATAAATCCTTTATATGCGTGGCATCGGTTTTATTTTATTATTCATTTCTGTTTTTCTTGAGTAAGAGTTTCATTTTTATCACATTGGTATTTTAAATTAAATATGCATTTTTTTTTTGTTCCTAGAAAGTGGAAAATTTAGGAAAATTTTTTTCACGAAAATAAATTGTCACGCACAACGAGTCTGTGTGCAAAATATCAGCTCGGTTGGATCACGGGAAGTGGGTTAAAAAACGACCGAAAGATTAGCACGGTCGTAAGCACGCAAGCAAGCAAGCAAGTTAACTTAATATAAAGGATTTTAAAAATATCCCCCGTATAATTCTAGATTTGAAGTATTCATGACTGCAAGGATTCATATTCTTAGGGGTTTTTTTCGGTAAAGTCACGTAGGTAAAAAATTTAAATAATAAAAGTCAAATTAAAATAAAATAAAAATCACGACTTTTCGGAGGCAACACAAGCTTCCGTCTTCAGGTGGAACCGTCACAGCACGATTGGGTGTCTTGTATGTTGCTGTACTTCCCCCGCACCTTTGATAAGCACGTTTAGCAACGTACAGCACGAAAGAAGTTCAACATACATTTACACGTGTACAATATGTTTTTTTATATATAAATGCGTGTGTTTATGTGTGTTTGTAAAGCGGCTGTCTGTCCGCAGGGCCCACGACACTGTGGGTGCGGTGGCCCTGGACGCGCGGGGTGACGTGGCGTGTGCCACCTCCACAGGGGGCATCACCAACAAGATGCCCGGTCGCGTCGGAGACAGCCCCATTGTGGGTACGTACGTACGTTGAGCTTCTTTCGCACCGTACGTAGCCATCCGTGCTAATCGGAGGTGCGGGGGGAAGGACAACAAACTAAAGACAAAAAGCAGTTCTAAAAAAAATGTCTTGGTTTCAATCTAGATGATGGTTTAAAAGTGCATGGCTCCGAGTGGCGTCCTAACATCGGGAGGAAGATTGTTCAGGACGGCCGCAGAAGCGCGTCTGAAAGCGCACGATGTGGCGACCGTCTTTGTTCGAAAGGTTAGCCAAGAATTAAATATCGTAGTACTCTACCGTGCGCATGCAGTGGTGCACGCAGATGCACGTTTCACAGGAGACATTACTGTATTCTATACGTATATAAGTTTTGCTGGCTGGCTGGCTGGCTGCGTGTTGTCTATTACTTTTCTCTTACTATCCTATCCCCTGTAACGGTGACGTCCAAAGAACGGTCACGTCCGGAGGGAGGGATGGACGCACGGACGGTTACGTCCAAAGAACGTGCAATGTTGCCAGTAAAACATTAACACAGCTGCTGAGCTGTCAAGTTAGGGAAAAAAAACGTATTTCCAACTTGGTAGGAAAACAATTGTAACTATTAACTTTTGCAAATTATGTTTCTGTTTCAAAGGAAACACTCCAGTGCCTCCAGTACTGGTTGCTTATTGGGCAGTCAATTAGATCACGCACACTTTTTATTTTACAATTGAGACGATTATAAGTAACGGGCGTCGATAAATATCAGGGGGCAATTGCCCCTTTTGCAACCCACCACCAATAGATTATGGAGCCGATCTAAAGCTTGTGGAGTTGAGCAGTCTCCAGTACAATACCCTCCACCTCCTACCACCTTGTCCGTCACATGCCACTATTCGGCAATGTCTCACTACCACTGCAGTTAATGCAATGTAGCACCCCCCCCCCCTTAATGTCAGAGGCGTGTCCGTAATCAAGGCGAACGATATCATCCCTGATTGTGCGCCCAAGTGTGGTGAGGATTTCCCCTCGTGTAGTTAGCAATTCACAAGTACTGCAATTAACTAATTACGTGGGACGCAAAGCTGCCGAATGTTATATTCAAACAAAAATTATACATATCAAGAGAAATTTCCTGCTTAGTTGATTTCAGATGCAATTATCTCTGCGATGTGTTTTCCGCCTTTATAGGCTAATTGGGAGATATTTTGTCTATGTGTATGTTGTGCAGTACAATCACGCGGAGACGGGGAATACTATAAGGGCTGTTGGCGTTTATTAAAACACTCTCACACTCGGCATCCTACACTCACACCAGTGTAGGGGCACTCTCTCTCGGTCCTTCACCCGAACACTGAATAACTATTTGGACCCTACCCTCGGCTATCCTTTTGGCTCTCTCACTCATCAGCCCAGAGCGGGGGATCAGCCAACACCTCTCCACGACGAGGAGAGACCCCCACTCCAGCCGGTCCTTACCCTGGCTCCCCACGACGACCACGCCCCCGTCACGGGGTCCCTCTTAAGAACCCTTTGGGTGGCTCCTCCCCCCCAGCTCGGCTCCGCCCATGTTCCCGAAAGTGCTTTCCGAAAGCCCCTTGCGTAACCCGCGACGTTACGTCACCCTTGGCCCCGCATGACCCTCAACCCGCTCGCAACTCCTTCCGCTCGCCCCCTAATTGGTGACTGACAATACTCCTCTACATATGTATATAACACATTCCTGCGGAGGAAGCTGGTAGGAACGTTGGGTTGCTCGGTCAATGGCCAGGGTCAACGGCGGCGTGGTGTATTCCGCAAATATGGCCGACTGTGAGGGCAGGCACAAGCCGGCGTGAGTAGGTTAAACGTTGAGTTGTATAGGGGCACCACGGGGTGACCAGCCCCTCCCCACCCAGCCCCACCCCTCCCACCCCCCACCCAGCCCCACCCTCCCCATCCAGCCCCTCCCCACCCTCCCCACCCAGCCCCTCCCCACCCTCCCCTCTCCACCCAGACCCACCCCTCCCATTTTTGGATGCACGACGGACGGACACAATGATCCCCTGTGGACTGGTGTAACCAGGAGGTTCCTACCAGTATGAGTATGTGTATCGTTGTGTATCTGTGTGCATATCTGCATGTATATCTGCGTATAGTCATCGCTGGGCACTGATGGCTAACGCACGTGGCCTTTAATCCCATTACTCTTGGAGCCGAGGGATGGTGGATCACACGCAGATGTCGTGAAACTCTCTTGCCGTGGGTGTCGATGAGGTGCCATACCCTGGCTCGCCAGCAGAAGGTGGTAAAATTAAATGTGGACTAATCTCCATCTTTTCCATCTGTATGGGGATTGAGTGTTGACCCCTCACACACGTGGGTTTTTCTCCAGGTGCCCCGATTTCCTCGCACGTGTATAAACACTCATTAATTGACTGAAAACACAAAAAAATCACCACCACCTCTTCCCAGGAGGGGCTGGGTGGGGAGGGGAGGGTGGGGAGGGGCTGGGTGGGGAGGGTGGGGAGGGGCTGGGTGGGGAGGGTGGGGCTGGGTGGGGCTGGGAGGGGTGGGGCTGGGTGGGGAGGGGCTGGTCACCCCGTGGTGCCCTTATAAAACTCAACGTTTAACCTACTCACGCCGGCTTGTGCCCACCCTCACAGTCGGCCATATTTGCGGAATACACCACGCCGCCGGTGACCTTGGCCATTGACCGCGCAACCCAACGTTCCTACCAGCTCCCTCCGCAGGAATGTGTTGATGACATCCGTGTGTGGTGTCTGTGCAAGGGTGCGGTAGTGGGGAGCGGTGGCATTGCGGTGATCGCACCGCTCTACGAGCCCGGCGACGCGAGTTCAATTCCCGCCCAACGGCAAATACCAGCGACGATTATATTATCTGGACCAGTTCTGGGCATCCTCTAGGTCGACTCAGCCTCAAATGAGAACCTGGTGCCATATGCAAAACATCGCCACTGGGGAGATAAAGACGGCCGGGCATAGGGTCGGCTACCTACCCCCCACCCCGTGTGCCGGGCCGGTCTTCATCGGTGCTATTCGCTAACGCCGTTTGCCCCCCAGCAGCCTGCGTTTGTCTTTGTGCAAAGGGTGCGGAGGGTACGCGGATAACGCTGTGGGCGCCGTTTCCACCACCGGGCACGGAGAGTCGATCATGAAGGTCACGCTGGCGCGACTCATCCTGTTCCACATGGAGGCCGGTGCGTGGCGTGTGCGTTTGTGTGCGTTTGCGTGCGACCGCGTGCGAAATTGCGTGTGAGAACGATTGTTTAAGGCCGCTTTATACATTTCAATTACCATTACATTACAGCAGCAGCACCAGCAACAACTGATTGCCAATTCACTGCATTGCATAATATATATCATAATATGAGTAAATAACGCACTGACGTTTTTGTTACTTTTCCTCATACAGCACGACGTCGCATATCCAACTCACTGGAGACAGATGTAGGCGGATAACCGAAAATAACATGCGTGGAAAATTACAGGGCGCATGCATGTGTGTTGAACTTCTTTCAGCGACACAAACGTGCGTACAAATCGGTCATTGGGCAAACATATCGTGCGAGCCACTTTCGACGTGGGAACATACCTTTCGACAGAGTGAAAGTAACATGAGATTAGGAACACGTGCGTCAGATTTGCGGACGTCTTATCGAAGGTGAAAGCTGCACCTTGCATAAGCACTGCACTGGGTGTGGGCGGTTAATTGATCAGGGCGGATATGTGACGGTCGGATCCGTGACATTGCATTTTTCAATCATGATTTGAAGCTTTCGTGACTGCAGGAAGCCATACTCTTTGGTTCTTTCGGGAAAGTCACGTAGGTATAAAATAAAATAGATCACGACGTTTTGGGCGCAACAAAAGCGTCCGTCATCAGCTGGGAAAGCATGATCTGCTGCTGATGCAAACTGTAAAAACAGACTTTACCGAAAGAACCAAAGAGTATTGCATTTTTTTTATTTAAATCTTTGATTACTTTTTTCTAAACTTCTTCGTGGGGTTTAAAAAAAATATTTTTATATTTGTTTAGGTTATTGGCTAAATTAGTTCCGTTCCTTGCCTAGATTTCCACTTCGATTTAAAGCTTATTTTATTATGTTTTATTTTTATTATTTTATTACTTCCCTTTTACGTGACTTTACCGAAAAAAACCAAGAAGATAGATTTCCACTGTCTGGAAATCTGCTTCGGCTTGGCTTCGAAAGCCTGATGCATTGCGTGACCCCGTAGCGGTGACGAGTGACCCCTAGCGGCACGGGCTGGTACAGCTCACACCTTGCTATTCTCAAACATTGACAGCACAAATTCATTAAGTTTGCGTTCATTTAGTTGTTGTTTTTTTAAACCAGGTGTAGTCCACCAAAAGACGACCAGGATCGAGTCTCGTTTGCGAGAGTGCACCTGGGCCACCAAAATTGAGGACGGATAGAAAAAAAAGTACGGCAATTATGCAAATAAAAATCAAGAGCTAAAACGACAGTGTCACACGATGAATCGAAAACAAAGCAGTGGTAATTAATAGATTTCCCGGAGCGTAATCAAATCAGATTTTTTTAAAAATATATCATCACAACAGAAAAAGAGTGCAGGCGCGGACATCATGGAAGGGAGAAGATCTAACACACACACACAGAGATCCAAACAACTTTCCCCGTGTAGCTTCAAGACCGCAGGTGCAAGTTTCCATTCGAGATCACTTCCTAAAGCCGGTGTGGCCAGAAACCACGCCCGGTGACCTTTGTCTCCCCAAATGCTTGACGGTCAACGTACTGCGTCAGGTACTCATTTGAGACTGAGTTGACCTATGGGGGGGGAGGCGAGATAAGGCTTGCCTGCCACCTCTAATGTACAAGAAACTGGGCAGAATAATATCTCGCAATGCCAGAAGACGGGAGAGCTCGCTTGCACGTGCATTGCCTCGAGTGGCGTGCTGTTGCGCGATTGACAAAAACCCGGGACTTTTAACGACACATTTCCCAAAAAAGCTGTCTCAAATTAGATAATGGCCCTGGGGAAAACCAGGACAGGTGGCAACCACAGTTGCCCTGTGCATCACTGGAAAAGTGTTACAAAGTTGCATGCAAGGCAGTTGCCCTTGTTTAAGTTGCCCTGGTGCCTCACCAGTAAACATGCAACGTTGGACGAACGTTGGCATGTAAGTTGGAACCTTTGCTACCCATAGCTTCTAAAACAAAACCCTAAGGTTCAACACTGTTTTGCTTCTGAGGTCTGATAGGATCGGCACATTCCATGTGGTTTTGGACATCAGCCTCCTACAGTATTCGCAAATATTACTGTGGTCGACTCGAGTTGGCAGTCCATGGAATTTACCGTAATCTCCAGATGAAAAGCCACCGCAGAAAGTAAGCCGCACCCCAAACGAGTGCCCAAGTGTCAATACGGTTAACCAAATCTGGTCTCACACACACACACACACACCTACCAGATTATAAGACGCATCCCCAAACATTACTCTAAAATCCTGGGAGGGACAAAAGTACGACTTACAATCCGGAGAATACGGTAGGTGCAAGTATGAGCGTGGCGCGCTACCTGGATGGAAAGGAGAATGCGCCCAACGAATCGTCACGCAGTTTCACGTGACTTTTACCGTGGAAAAAAAAAATCTACCAAACCGACCACCGCCAGCAGCACCGAACGCATGCATGCACCCGCGGTATGGCAAGGTCGTCCCAAGGTGCCCACTGACAGCCTCACAACGACCAAGTGCCGTCCCCCTACCCCACCAACACTTCCCTTGCATGCGATAAAGTGCGTTAGCAAGCGCCTATGAAGGCTGACTCTGCATATGAAGCAAGGTGGAGTGACGCCACTGCCGTCAGCCGCTCACTCGTCCACAACAGAAGATGCCCCGACAATTTTCCAGCGGTGCCGTGCATTTCACAGGGTTCGAGTCCATGTCGCGCTACAAATTGGCATGGAACACAAACGGTTGCACGATAAATGACACACGTCCACGGCATGATGGTTGCTCAAAAAGCCAAGAGGCCAATGGACTTAAACACTTTTTTTTATGTGGAGGCACCGGTGGGAGTTCTCCTTATTTGTGATTTTACGAAATATAACAAAGATCAATTGTTGAGTCTCGCACACCGTTCGGCTAAGCGTTTCGAGTTGAGCTCCTGTTCAGGTTGATAAATACATACGCACAATGACGAAGATTACTCATTTAACCTGGCAGACCATATGGGCCGGTGCTCTTAGTGAGCACCTATTAACTATTTAATTTTACCAGGTAAGGCCCACAGAGCTATATAGTTATTTTTTCAGAAGCGACCTGGCCACACATGATAGCACAAGAAGTGGCTTATCATATGGAAATGTTTAGCAGCCAAATACTATAAGCTCATGTTTTTAAATGTGGAGGGAAAACCAAGGGACCCGGAGTAAAAGTCCACGCGACCACGGGGAGAGAGACACGCAAACTCCAAATATACAACAGGCATCAGGGTCGGGATCAAACCCACGGCCTCCTGTATACCAGGTGAGGTAGTTAACATCTCCGAGCCACCGTGATGATGATGAGAGAGAGACACGCAAACTCCAAATATACAGGCATCAGGGTCGGGATCAAACCCACGACCTCCTGTATACCAGGTGAGGTAGTTAACATCTAGCCACCGTGGCACCCTATTATTGTGGACACGTAAAACAAAGTGGTGCGGTATTCATCATACCCTGCCACCTTTGTCTCCCCAGTATAGTACTGGGGAACGGTTGTTCACACACTTGCGCAACAAACTCAGAAACCCAGACTCAATCTCCAGCCAGAGTACACGGCATCAGTGGATGAACTATGCACGCTAATCGTGTGAAGTTTTACTAGCATGGAATGCACTTGCATGCCAGCTTTGGTGTGCATGCGCCCTGTAAATGATTATCAACTATAGAAACTTGAATTATCTTACCTACTGTCACTAATTTTACTGTACAAAAATAATTCCCTGGTGTCTTGAGTGCGGCTCGCTGAGCTTTGGACACTTCAATGACAATCCTGACACAGAACTTGTCCTGACCTTCACCGGGGTCAAATCAGCCTTAAATTGTGATTACCTGTAGTGGTGTGTAAAAAAAAAACCCCCACACGCACACATTTACCTGCACAACCCGTAGAGGTATGGCACTGTGCTCATAATTTTCCACTGGCTGTTTCTCGAGCCTGATAATCCCCAAGGTCATCTCAGCCTGAAATGATTTACCTGTTGCGGTATAAAAAAAACACAAAGATCCCCAGTATAGCCTTTAACAGACTTTTGAGGCAAGTGCTATTAGCAAGCAACTATGCAGGCTGGAACAGCACACAATGGGGTGCCGTGGCCAGGACCACGCCTAGCCCGCCTTATCTCCCAGTGGCTATGTTTATACATCTTACCAGATACTGATTTGAGGCTGAGTCGACCTAGGGGAGGACCCAAGACCAGTTAAGATAATCGTCACTGGTGTTGGCCATGAGCGGGAATCGAACTCGGGTCGCCAGGTCCGTAGCACGGTGCGCTAAGCACTACACTATCGCTCGCCACGGTGCAATAACCACAACGCCACACACATAGAGCTACCTGCATAATTTTGTAGGGTAGAGTACCGAACATGCAGGTACCTCATTCTGAATGAGATTTGTTTTTTTTGTCCTCTGGCTGTTCTTCCAAAAAAAGTTTCAGATGAGAGATTTCTTTTTTTTTGCCAGAGGCATGCACTCAGCAAATCTTTCAACGATCACATTCGCACCTGTCTCCTGACACAACGCACACAGACCGGGTCGTACACGATAGAACCTGTACGCACAGGGTCCCGGTTGTACGTGCAGCACCACGCGCAAGCAGCCGTATAGAAACAAGACACACGGGGGGGGGGGGGGGGGGGGAAGTGATTACGCAACAGATGGCCTCAATATTCAAAAGAATTGTCGGTGAGGAAAGATCTCAACCAAGACGACGCTGCTCTAGTCGGTCACAAGACCTTTAATTTCTGCCAGTCCACGCGCCAATTTCCCAGTGCTAACTGCTCATGATATTTTCCACAATTTACACGTTGTCGTCTTCTGCTGTCCTCTTCGTCGTGAAAACCTGTAGAAAATCCACATCAATGCCATGCAACGCAACTTGAATTCTTCAAGCACGTAATTATTTGCCGTTGTACATGTGCACGTATGTATGTTGAACTTTTTTTGCACCCCAAGTAACCAACCGTGCTAATCAGAGGTCCAGCCCGTTTGTCAATCCACTTCCAGATGGAGGCCTCCCCATGCCATACGGGCCGTGGAAGGTTATTTGACCATACAGTAAATTTGGCCGTGACGGTCCTACCTGAAGACGGAGACTTGTGTTGCCTCCGAGACGTCGTGATTTAATTTAGTTATTTTTATTCATTATTATTTTCATTTATTATTTTTTTACCTACGTGACTTTACCGAAAAAACCTAAGAATATTTGACCATACTCCACCACGCCGGTGCTGCCCTTGCATCTCAAGATGTGCCCCTTGTGCCCCGACCCAAGGAAAGTCCCCGGATGAGGCGACGGCGCTGGCCCTGAGCCACATGCGTGACCGGGTCGGAGGTCACGGCGGGGCCGTGGTGCTGGGCCGGGACGGGCGCTGGGGGGCTCGCTGCTCCACCGAGCGCATGGCCTGGGCGGCCGTGGCCGCCGGCTCGCTCTACTACGGCCTTCAGCCTGGGGAAGTCCACATCGAGCCTCTCTAGTAAAGCCACCAAACGGTCCGGTTGGGGCCAGGACAGTTCCCCCGGTAGTTGGTTCAGCGGCTTCCCCAAGAAGCTTTTGTGAAAATCGGGATTTTGTCACAGTTTAACATTTGATGGCTTCATGCCCGATGGGTGTTGCAAACTTCTTACAGCGGAAAAGTCGCCAAACAGTGCTCCAGAAGTCGGTGATGGATCTTGTTAGGTTGTTACAAATGCCAATAGACGATTTCACAAGGACTGTATTACACATAATTCGCTGATACAGGATCTTTAATACCTTTAATACACAGATGCAATCACGTCACTAGACAATTAACTAGAAGTATTACTCAAAGTAAACGATGCAGGATATGTATATGCATACTATCCGTGCTATCGGTTCTCTGCCTATATTAAAGTCTCATATCCCCTTTTCCTCTACCGATGACTCACTGCCTCTGTACAACATTATTTGCCCAGTTTTTATACGGCATCTTGAAATGCAATATATTAATCCACATCGTCAAGCGTTGTAGGTATTACCTCCTAGTAATATATAATTTCCCTAGTTTATAGTCACACAATGTATTTGCTGATTAAAAACTTCGCAAAAATATTGCCTGCGGTGCTGCGATAGCATAGAGTAAGAACTTCAGTGTTAACGTACTGTATTTCAAAACTATAATTACCGATTTTCATATCAAATAAAATAACTTGTTACGTTTACAGTTCGTGATGATTTGTTTCGTGCGTTTCCCTGTCAATGGAGTGTTGTGAACATTTCATGGAATCTCGAGAAATATTTAGAGGCAAATCCAGAGAAATCTGAACAAATCCGATTCATACTCGACATGGCTCCCAGTGGCATCCACGTGTTTTCCCAGTTTAAGGATCAATTTTCGAGTGACAGTGAAGTGACTTGAGCTGTGAATGAATTGAGGAATGAGGCAGAGGATTCTTCAGGGTGGTGATTCTTTACTCAATTATGTATTTCATGTGCCATTGAAAAGCAACGTACAAACCATTATAACTGTGCGTTGAGTCTGCTAATCCATTTAGTGGCATCGGGAATTGATTGATGTATCTCCTGCGACGCGAGTTCAATTCCCGCTTACGGCCACCAACAGATAATTATCTGAATCGGTCCCAGGCCTCCTCCTCTCGGTCGACTCAGCCTTAAATGAGTACCTGGTGCGGTGTGTAAACATCACCACTTGGGGGCACAAATGCAGCCGGGCGTGGTGCTGGCCACCCTTGTGTGCTGTGCCGGACTTTATAGGTGCTCACTAACAGCACTTGCCCCAATAGTTTGTTAAAGGCTACACGGGGATCTTTGTTTTTGGATTGGTCTGCATGATGCTGTGCTGCTCCTGGGTACAAAGTTCCCATTCGTTCTCTTCACGGGGCGTTTCAACTACAGCTGCTGCAGTGCTTTGGAGCCATGGGTCACCTGCAGTTATTAGTACATTATTATTCTTGCACAGGTCAGACTTGTCACGGGCCAATGTCCAAGTTAATAATCAATCCCTCCAGTAACATATTCTACAGGCCAGGTGGCACTGTGGTCAGAGCACACGGCTTCTCAATCGGAAAAGGTTACCAGTTAAAATCCTGGTCAGAGGTCAAACCCGGCCCTTCGTACCTTCATCCCTCAGTGGTCAGTATTAATGAGTGCCAGCAAAGTAGAACTCCTCTTATTAGCGACCGTATTATCCGCAACTCCAAGTAACAACGGGAGCTGTAGGGTCTGCAACAAAAAAATGAATTGATAACACCGATCTGTGATGTTCGTAAGAGGAGTTCCGTATAATACGAGAAGTCGCCGGTTCTTGCTTTGACTCACACACGCCATAGGAATGTGGAATGCTCACCAAATAGCTTAGGGCTGCTAACCGGAGAGAAGCACCAGCATGTAATTTATTTTCATGGGAGACTATTTTGACGTGCCTTTTTATAAATATATATTTTTTGTTATTTACCCACACTTTTATCCTGATTTGGGTTATCCATTTGGATCTATTGCCAGGCAGTGCAACCTTTTATGTTCGAGAGAACAGCCCACGGAAGTGGTTATCGCAGAGCTACCTCTAAGATACCTTCACGTGGTATCTCATCCGTATGGTAGAGTGATGCTCCTTCCCAACACCCTGCATATGATAGGAATGAGAATAGGTTTTCCCCTTTTTTCTGGCAACAAACAGGTGTGAAGATGTTAAAACACCAAACTGATACCTATTACAAGGAATCATGTCTACATTAACCACAATACTTGTGTTCAGAAGGCAAACAAAAAACTTATAATATATGCATTGTCTTTGAAACTGATTGGGCCACACCAGAGACAGCTTTCTTTCGTATGCCTTTTAGCTTACTCTGGTCTAACATCGTTTCGAGACTAAATAAAGCTGTCTCTGGTGTGGACCAATCAGTTTCAAAGACAATGCATCTATTATCATACTTTGATACTGGCAAAGGAGGTCCCATGATATGATAGGAATGTTTGTCGCATGACAGTCACACCGATACGTTATTGTCAGAACTGGAAATTAGCCAAATTAAGTACAGAACCAATTTTGTCTTTTACGTGTTGGGTTTTTTGTTGTTGCAGTCATTGGTGACCAAGCTTAGATCATCGACTGACTACACTTGAGAACCACGGTTTAACCACAGGCGGCTAAAACCTGTATTCGAACCCAGGTTCTCGTCAGTACTCTGACCTCTGAGCAACCTTACCTCCTACCTATTTAGAATCTTCTGACTGGCATTTATCTCGCATTGCCAAAGGATTTTAGCCGGCACTCAGCTCTGTCATCAGGGCCCTGAGCCCGTGTTGGAAATTCCACATTCGCATTGACAGCACCTATCTTCTACGGGTGGTCTCCAGAATCAATGGCTAATGCTTTGACTGTGCTCCAGCAGCCTGCCAAGATTTTGGTGATTAACTTAGCGTCAGCCCGATCAATATGAGCCATCCGTAGGCCGGAAGCCAGTGCAGTTTTTTTCATCAGATTTACTTCAATAGTGTTGACAATAAATATGCACGATTCAGCTTTGCCCCCCCCTCCCACCATCCCCGACATACATGGAAAAGACAAAAAATCCTTCAACAGATCATTGGTTTTTTACCCTTCCATCTGGCAACAAAACTGACACCTTTTTTTAACAAAGAGTCACGTTTGCATAGACCACAATACCTGCAGTCATAATGCAAACAAAAAACATAACTCTGATAATGTGCACTGTCCTTGAAGTTGATTGGTCCACACCCGAGACAGCTTTCCTTAGAGCCTAGTCTCACAGAGGTTGGACCAGATGACGCCAAAAGGCCTTTTGGCGTCATCTTATTTTTTTACTGGCAAATGAGGTTCCAATGATCCTTCAACAGAGTTACATATGAATAGAATACCACAGTGTAACGCCGTATATCCGGACGTCGCATATTCGCCCTGACCAATCAACTGCCCCCACACACCCAGTGCAGTGTGTGGTATTGGTGCAACGATGTAGCTGTAATTTCCCATGGATGATCGCAAAATATGACACCTTCGCACGCAGTACCGTATTGCGTTCTTAAACTCGCGTACATTTGCTTCCTTTCAAAATCCCAGGGAAGAATGGTCCCCATGTTTAAGTCATTTTCGTCCAGTCACCAGTTTGTGCGTGGGTGCTGGTATCTGTTCACTTATCGGCCGTTTTCACACGGCCGCCAATACCTCAGCGCCCCTCCCCAGAAAGTTGGATATCCGACGTTCTGTACGTCATTGTATCAGCGAATTGGGTTCACAATATACAGGGTTGATCCAGATGTCTTGTGACCCACCATTTAATTCTCCAAAACTTGTTTATTTTTAAGTAAGATTTACTTAACACAGAAATGAATATGCAAAGGAAACCAATGTTAGGGGTCACTTCATTGGGGGTCACAAGACATCTGGGCCACCCTGGCGGTCACAGGCATCTGGGTCAGAACCAAGAAGGAGAAATCACTCATCTCAATCGTAGTAGTGTAATTATTTCTCTATTCACTGTGTCCGAAATGCATTTGAAAGCGACGCCGGTGTTACGTTTGGATACAATTTGTTGTTGGAAAGGATTTATAAATTATAATCCATCTTATCACTATATCGAATCCATTTCAGTCGAGTTAACAGCACTTACTGAAACAAAAAAAACCCATTGTGATATGAAACCTAATCTTTGTCATCGTTTAAGCATTGCGTGTGTAACCCACTGTACATTTTTGTATAACCTGTTTGTTCGGGGTGGTTTTGGGGCGCTTGTTTTACAGATTAATATCATTACTTTTGCATAAACCTCGACACACACTGCCATGCACTTGCATGTTCTCCGAATCATCACCATTTTTTTTAATAGCCTCGCATTGCTGCGTGCCCATCGGTAACACTCCGAGAGTGACCCATCACCAGTGAGATGCACCGTCTATGTTTAAACAAATGAACCGATTCACTCGTTGAACTTCTTTCGCACCGTACGTAGCCAACGGCGTTAATCGTCATCATCATAATCAACCACCTCCACCATCTCCCTCGATCCTGCCATGTAGAACAATCCACGCAGAACGCCTGCGCGCCAGCTGATCTCATCGCTCCATCTCCTCCAGCGTCCGTCCTCTCTCGCGGTGCGTTCCGTTCCGTCGCCGTCACAGCCATTGTTCTCGATCATCGTCCACCGTCGTGTCTTTGTTTCTCCTCCCGTTGGGTCGTTTCTGACCACGTCTCCGTGATGCGCGTCACGGCGCTGCTTGAAGACCTTTCTTCATTGAGCACATCGGGCACGTTACGCTTAATGATTAACATTGTTTGAATGATTTATGGACGGCAAAGGAATGCTCGTGAATTCTAATCTAGACAATAACTTCTGCAGTGGTGTAAATCCGCGCACAGTATATTGTTGGGCCAACGCCTTAAATTCTCGATTTGCTGTTGGAGCAATTCATATGTCCATGGGCAAGGGCAGAAAAGGGTTCTGCCGATGTGGAAAAAAAAACCTTAGCACAATAGCACCGGTTTCCTTTAACGACCAACGAAAGTGAATTACCAGGGATTTTTTCGCATATGGAATGGTTGTGATGGAACGCCCATTTGTGCAACCATTCCGCTCCCCCCCCCCCTCCATGTCAATGCTATTCGAAGTGACTTTCAAAATCTGCTCAGGCAAGGCAGATTTCAGATATCTTGAGTGCTGCCAAATAGAGCCGAGACGACCCCTGCCCCTTGAGGCAGGAACCCCCTCCCCCACCACAAGCCATCCCCAACGTGACGCAGCTGACGATGTCAATGACACCGCCAAGCCCAGCCTGGCACCTCCCGTACAGCGGCACACGTGACAATAGAGGTGCGATTTCCGATCTCCCCCCCCCCCCCCCCACAAATACTTTAGCGTTATCCGATTGGTTGAGTGATTTAAACTGACCGTCGGTAGATGAATCAATTATTTAAATCATCAGATAGCCCAACTCTGCTGCTGAAAGGTCAATTGCAGAGGTTATCGTGAACTGTTCAATGTGCAATGGGCGGGAAACTTTCAGAGAAAGAGGCAGGCCCAGAGGTTTAGCGTGGGTGACATGTGCCCTGGTGCAAGGAATGAAATGCTCCACCACACCCCTGTCCATCTTTCCGTTCTCTTTATAGCCCTGTGCCATTGTTTCTGGACTCATGGGCCCTGCTGCAGTTACGCCATTGTCC